TTATCCAAAAGCTTGAATGTGTCAATCTGAAGCGTCCTGCCTACGATGACTGGCCTTTCCCTAACACTAAGAGATTGAAGAAGGACAACTCGCCGACTGAAGCCACCATAAATGGTAATAAATCCCAGCTTCTAGTTCCAAGTAATTCCTTCTCTAAGGGCAAAAGCCCTCTCAAGAAGAAAACCAGAAAGCGTCGATTCTCTACTACTACTAAGATTGATTTTGATTCTCCAGTTGATGTGCCTATTAAAAGGTGATGTCTCTAGTACTCATTGGAATGATGTTATTTTCACGACTTCTACTGCTGTTACTTTTGATCAAAGGCTTGGTGGCTCACCTTCAAGGGCCACCTAGCAGCCATGAGTCTCCTTGCGTGGAATTGTTAGGGTTTGGGGGCTGCCCTAACTGAGAGGCATCTCAAATTCTAATAAATAAATTCAAGCCCTTCATAGTTTTCTTTCTGAAATGAAAATGAAATTTACAAAGATTAAAGTCTCCGTAAAAGTTGTAACTTTGATTTAGGCACCTCTATAGATCCTATTGGACGTGCTAAGGGATTATGCTTATGGTGGCAATCAAATGTCAATATTGAGGTACATATTTTTGCTCGTAATTTTATTCATGTGACTGTTCATTATGGCTTCTTTTCTACTCCTTGCCATTGCACTTTTGTTTATGGCCCTCCTTACGATGAGATGAAAGAATTTTGGTGGGGTCAAATGATTAGACTCAACTCAGGAGATCATAATTCTTGACTATGCATTGGTGATTTTAACGAACTCCTTTACACCCATGAAAAACAAGGTGGTCATCATGGCCTTCCTAAATCCTCGGACTGGTTTCATCTCTTTATGGATACCTGTGGGATGATGGATCTAGAATATAATGGGCCTAAGTTTACCTGGGCTAACAATCGAGAAGGTGAAGATTTTATTCGAGAGTGACTTGATAGAGCTGTTTGTAACATTAAATGGAAGGAAAACCATTGTAATTCTCTACTCAATGTTCTAGATCCCATTGGTTCTGATCACTCCCCCTTCTTCTAAAATTAAATGGTATAGAGGTGAAAACGCCTAAGAGATTTTTCTTTGAATTGTTTTAGCTTGATCATCCTGAATTCCTATAAATTGTCTATGACAATTGGAGCCCTGACACAATCAAGATCTTCTTGATGAAATCTCTTGGTTTAATAGCAATCTCCTTCGCACCAGAGACTCTCTCCTCCAATGGAGTAAGCAACAATTTTCCAATAATGCTGTAAGCATTAGTAAAATATTAATTGAGCTTCGGTGTTGCTATGAAGGGGAATGGATGAATGATAAAGCTTATGTCTCTAGGGCCCTAAAATGTGAATTAGCAATTCTTTGGGATAGAGAAGAGAAGTACTGGTACCAACGAGCTCGAATCAACTGGTGTAAATGGGGAGATATGAATTCCAAATTTTTCCATTTGAGCACAGCTTATAGGAGACAAAAAAAAGATCCAAAGACTTAAATGCCCTAATGGGGAGTGGATTGACTCCTAGGTGGATATTGACAATCAATTTATGTCCTTCTACAATTCTCTCTTTGACCGTAGCAATATGAGAGATTTCTCTAAAGTACTTGCATATGTCCCGTACCTTCTCATTGACATGGATAACAAACTCCTTGAAAGGCCCTTCACTACAATGGAAATTTGACAAGTTGTGTTTGCAATGGGCAGCACTAAAGCCCCAGGACCTGATGGATATTCTGGTATGTTTTACCATAAGGCTTGGAACATCGTTGGTGACCAAGTCTGTGCTATGGTGTAATCTTTTTTTACTGGTAATTTAGCTCTTTGGGGACTTAATGACACTGATCTAGTAATGATCCCAAAAACTGATAATCCTGCAGCTGTTGCTCATTTTCGTCCAATCAGCCTTTGCAATTTTTCCTACAATATCTTCTCTAAACTGCTGACTAGTAGAATGAAACAGATTATGCCCAAAATCATCACTGAAAATCAACGGCATTTGTGCAAGGCAGAGTAATTCAAGATAATATATTTCTTGTCCATGAGCTTTTCCATTATTTGAAAACCAAACACAATGGTTATTGTGAAGTTGCTGTTAAATTAGACATGAACAGAGCATTTGACCATATTGAGTGGGTTTTCTTAAAGGCAGTGTTACTGAAATTGGGCTTCTTGAGACAATGGGTGGCTAAGATAATGATGTGCATCACCACAGTTAACTTTAATCTCCTGCTTTCTGGTCGCAAAGTTGCTGAAGTTCGCCCACGTGAGGATTAAGACAAGGAGACCCCTTACCTCCTTACCTATTTATTATTGTTGCTGATATCCTCTCTAGAATTTTATTACAGCATGCTGATTTAGAATTATTAACTGGTGTGAGACCCACTAAGCACTGCCCAAGAGTAACACACTCATTTTTTGCTGATGATTCCCTTTTATTTTTCAGAGTAGATTCTCAAACTTGTTATCTTGTTACTGACATACTTAACAAGTATTGTGCAGCTTCTGGGCAACGCATCAACTTGGGGAAGTCGTGCTGTTTTTTCACCCCCAATGCTCCATCCCACACTAGGGATGAGCTTTGCTTAATTCTGGGAATATCTGAAGCTACTACACTTGGAAACTATCTTGGCCTCCCTGTTCTATAGGGGCGATCTAAAGTTGAGGCCCTCTCCTTTTTCCGAGATAAAGTACAGAAGAAAGTCAAAGGCTGAAAGTGTAAGTTGCTATCTCAAGTTGGTCGTGAAGTCCTTATTAAAGCTGTTACAAATGCCATTCCAACTTATCCAATGAATTGCTTCCTCTTTCCTGCTAAATCTTGTCTTGAACTTAATAGAATCATCTCAAGATTCTGGTGGGGACAAAAAGGTGAAAAAAAATGCATTGGGTTTCTTGGAACAGACTATCTGATCCTAAATGCCAAGGAGGCCTAGGATTTAAGGATTTTGAAGCCTTTAACAAAGCTTTACTAGCTAAACAATGTTGGCGGCTTCTTACTAACCCCTCAAATCTTTAGGCTCGAATTATCAAATGTGTCTACTACCCAAAAACATCCTTCCTTATAGCCCAAAGGGGTGCCAAGCCATCATGGGCATTGAATAGCCTGCTAGCTGGTTGAGAGCTCCTGCTTGATAAAATTTATTGGTGTGTTGGTGATGGTGTTGATATTCATAGTTAGGGAGACCCTTGGATTCCCACATTACCTGCCTTCAAGCTTACTTCTGAGCCTCCTGTTAAAGAAGCAAAAACTCTCTGTGTCAATCTATTAATTACTAATGGTACTTGGGATCTCTCTATTCTGGAAGAGTACTTTAACAACTCTGAAAAAGAAGCTATTAAAAGCATCCCCCTCTTTACTCGTCTCCCTTTTGACAGGCCCCATTGGCTTGGAAGCAAAAATGGCTTATATACAATGAAGAATGGCTATAATTCCCTTCAACAACCTACTCTTTCAATGAAGGCAAGTTCCTCTTTTCATCTACATAAGCACATTTGGAAAGTTCTTTGGAAACTTCATGTTCCTGGGCGTGTTAAGCATTTCTTCTGGAGACTACTTAATAGTGCCTTACCCTCACATGAAAACCTTTGGAGATGTCATTACAGGTCTGATCCACTCTATCAATGCTGTAAGCACCTCCCAGAAACTTATGAACACTTACTCCTCCTTTGTGAGTGGTCTAACAAGGTTTGGTTTGCCTTATCTTTAGGCCTAAAAATTGATAGCTCTAATCTGACGCGACTTGACAGGTGGTTTCTTGATTTTTGCTCAAATCCCATTACTGATGATTGGCATTCAGCTCTTTTTACTATGACCTGTTAGCATATTTGGAAAAATAGATATGCTCATTATTTTGAAAAACTCCCTCTTCGACCCCTAGAAACTTCGAAGCATGCTGAGGATGCTCTTCTTGAATTTTAGTCTATTAATGGCTGGTGCAATACTACTCAACATGATCACAACCAATGCATGGAAGTAGTTCGAAAGGAAAACTAGAAACCACCAGATGTAGGCACTGTGAAGTGCAACTTTGATGCTTCTTACTATTCTGATTCTAGCACTGCAGGTGTTGGGGTCATTTTTAGAGATCATTGTGGTAGTCTTCTTGCTATATTTGGAGAAAGAATTCGTGCCACTTCACCTTTCATAAGTGAAGCTTCTGCACTTTCCAAAGCTCTCTCCTTTACTAATCAATATAGCTTCCAGACAATTACATTTGAATCAGATTGCAAAGTCTTGGTAGATGCAATCAATTTTGGTCACACTTGCCCAGAATGGCCCTGTGTTGTCCTTTTTGCTGATGTTTGCGGCTCCTTTTCGGTTAACAATTCTTGGTCCATTTCTTGGATCCCTAGGTTTGCTAATTTAGCTAGTGATTGGTTAGTTAAAGAATGTTCCAAGGGGGTGTGCCCTTTCGGGTGGGATCTTTGTCCTCCTCCCCCTTTATCTGACTTGCTCTCTTTAGACTCTATGTCTTGCCCTGATGTAATTACTTGATCTTTAATGAATTACCTTTCTAGCAAAAAAAAAAAGTATATGCAACTAGTCTTTTCGTGTATATGCAGGAATATTTAACGGAATGCAATCATTTTTTGCAATTGAGAAACTGACCAAGCATTTGTGATATATCTCCTTTTGATGCAATAACCTATGTGCATATGCATAATTGTTTAGAAATGCATGTAATCTGCCGTGAATTGCCAACTCCTCTCCCCTTTTTTAATTTTCAATTTTGATTTACCAAGGCCATTTTGGTCTTTAACAACACCGCAATAATGCCACAAAAGATCTTATTTTCCAAAACTCTTCAACTCTCTTTTAGCAATTAATTTGATCGTGATTTTTGTTTTGGGTACAATTTTCCCTTTGCTTTTTTTTACCTTGATAATTCAGAATCCGGACTTTAGAAATGTTGAAAAGAAATAGGATGTAAGTTCACTAGTACAAAATTAACCCCCAGCGAAGTTGATCATTTTAATCGCATCCATCAAAGAGTTTTGTTAAACGAGATCAACCGTTGGATCATTTGAGTCACATATCAAAACCCTCCACGACAATTTTATCTTTCTAGGGTTTCCCAAACCTAATCGCAGAGAGGAGGCTCAGTTTTCTCTTGACTTCACAGAAGCTCACCGACATGGCGACCCAAATGAGCAAAAAGCGAAAGGTGAGTAAAAATTCTCCTCTCTCCCTCATCAAATTAAAGGAATGTTGCTGTTTTATCCTTTCCGTTTTTGTCGAGGCTGTTGTGACGCTGAGCTTGTGTTTTCCAGTTTGTAGCCGATGGAGTTTTCTTTGCGGAGCTGAATGAGGTTTTGACCAGGGAGCTTGCAGAGGATGGGTACTCTGGTGTTGAAGTTAGGGTTACACCCATGCGGACTGAGATCATCATTAGGGCGACTCGCACTCAGAACGTTCTCGGTATACTAGTGTTTGTTTAGTTACTCTTACGGTGGCGAATATTTTTTGGCTTGTTTCCCTTCAGGTTATATATATATATGTATATTTTCGGATGATTGGTAATTAGGTTAATGAGTGTATTTTTGAAGGTTTCTAATATATGGTTGGAATCTGTTGCACTGAATCCATATTTTCTTTAGAATTATACAGAAGAAGAAATCTGAATCTGAACTAGGAAGATTATCCTCGTTCGGCATGGGTTTAAATTAAATATCATTATTGTTTGACTGAGTTGGTTTCATTTTTCTCCAATTGGCGAAGGTGAGAAGGGAAGAAGAATTAGGGAACTGACTTCTATTGTTCAGAAGCGTTTTAAGTTCCCTGAGAACAGTGTTGAGCTATATGCTGAGAAGGTCAATAACAGAGGGCTCTGTGCTATTGCACAGGCAGAATCTCTTCGTTATAAGCTTCTTGGAGGGCTTGCTGTCAGAAGGTATGGAATGCTATTGATAGGACTTTCATTTTACACGTCCATTAATTCGTGAAACACTGCTATTTACATCTTGTGTTTATCATACTGGTCTAGTCCTGTGCTGTTCAGACAGCAAGTCCAGTTCTGGGGTCTAGAACAATTGAGTTTGAGATCTTTAGATGTGGTGATTGGATTGTCTGACCGCTTCACATTTTGGTCGTTTAACCACCTGTCAGATGTCAATGTCAGTTTACCGTTTGGCTCAGTGTTTGTTGTTAGTTATCTTGCCCCTGATATGATTTCTATATTCGGTGGAAGGCTACTTGAATTTTTTTTTTTTTGGGATAAAAAGAGTCTACTTGATATTACACCAACTTTTTGTATTTCTCTTTTTCAGAGCTTGCTATGGTGTCCTTAGATTTGTCATGGAAAGTGGTGCCAAAGGTTGTGAGGTTAGTAAAGCCATAGATTCACATCGGCCTATGCTATCTATTCCGCCCTCACTTATTGACCTTATTCTGCATTATACTAGCTGTAGCCAACTGCCAATTGACTGATCACATGGGCGTGATAAGATTTCATGAATTACTTATGCAATCTGGTACTTGTCAAATATCTCCAGGTTATTGTTAGCGGCAAGCTCAGGGCTCAGCGTGCCAAATCTATGAAATTCAAGGACGGATACATGATATCATCTGGTCAGCCTGTCAAAGAATATATCGACTCTGCTGTGAGGCATGTGCTTCTGAGACAGGTCAGCATATTGCCACATTGGCTCTTGTAGATTCAGGAACTAATCGTTTAAAATCAGCCTGTGTTTGCATCTTTTGACTGGAAATCCTACCTATGACTGCTGCAGGGTGTTCTTGGGATCAAGGTTAAAATCATGCTTGATTGGGATCCTAAGGGTAAGCATGGACCAACCAAACCTATTCCGGATGTTGTCACAATCCATCCACCAAAGGAGGAAGAAGATTACATTGTTAGGCCCTTGCAACAGCCCGCAGTCCCCACCAACATAGAGATTGCAGCAGTTTAGATCACTTTTTCAGAACCAGGAATAGAGGAGATATGTAACTTGTGTTGGTTGCTATTGTTGCAGAATTTATTATAGTTTTCGACTTTTGGTTCTTGTTTCCCAAAGGTTGTATCGCATGATTCAACTATAGACGGAATGCTTCATGCCGAACTTTATCATATTGCCGTTCGTTGAGGTTATTTTGTCGATCCACGTTATGCATATGCTATTGTAGTGGTCGAATGCTACAATTTATTCTTGATATCTCCAGTATCAAGATGGATGATGTTCTTGGAAGGTAATCTTCCGTGTTTATATAATTCTAATATTAAAATTGGTGGTGTTTACTATTAATTACGTGGCATATTTAATTTGATAATGATGAAAAATATTTCTCGTAATCTTCGTTATCACGCAAGGCGGAAAGGTTGAACTTCCATACGTTAATATTTTCTAATTTATATGCCCAAAACTTTTCTTCTCCAGTTTTTTTTTTTTTTCAATGTATGTAATTTCTTAGTGGAGTGTAAATCTGGTTGCGTATGGATTTTATTATCATTTAAATTTTAGGTGTTAGTTTGTTTTAACTTATTTTATAAAAAAGATGGTTTTTTCTTTAAAAATCTGTTTGTGAGCTTTTATATATTTGTTTTAACTTTAAAAAATAATTACATTTTAAAAGAAATAGACTTTTAATTATTTTAAAAAATTTTTTTGAGTAGTTTTTAAAAATAATTTATTAAACTGCATGTGAGAAAATATTTTAAAAAGGTGGGATATATAAAAATATTATAAAATTTTAAAATATTATAATAATGAATTATTTTTATAAAATAAAAATCAAGAATGATATTATAAAATTTAAAAATAATTAATTGATAATTAATTTTTAAAATTTTAAGTAATTTAAAAATTTTATAAAAAAATATTTATTTTATAAAAATTTTAAATAAAAAAGCTTAAATTTGGCAGGTTAGGTTGTAGCCTTGTATTTTGAAAGGTATTTTTTAAATTTTTTTAAATTATCAATGGTGTGAATTTGGCTCCAAGAATTTGTTCCTTTAAAGAAGCTTTATATTAGTGTAATCATTAATTAATGCCAATTAATATAATATGAAACTCATAATTTGATACACACGAATCAAGCAAAGATCAAACAAAGTTGACCTTAAATTTCACACGTTTAGTCGGTATATAAATATTATGAATTTTTTTTCATAAATTTAGATTTTATATCAATAATTTTTTTAAAAATAAATGAATGATTAAATCATATGCCTGAACTTTGGTTTATATGTAAATAACTCTTTTTACCTTTAAAATATGATTTAAAAAAACACCTCCAAAACTTTTAATTTTAGAAAAAATGACAATAAAACTCACTAAAATAAATAAAAGACAATTAAGTTCCTTAAAATGTCATAATTTTTTTGTCTTAATGTACCTTTCTGACATTAATAATTTTAAATTAAATGACTAAATTATTTCTTATTTAAAATAAAAAATGAGTTCACCTCTAAAGTTATAATTTTCTGTTTAATTCTTATGATTCATAAAATAAAGATTGTAATTGTTTAAATAAAAATTATCATTGTTATTTTAAAATTTAGACTTTAATAATAAAAAAATTTCATGTGAGAAGTTATAATTTTTTTTAATTCTTATGATTTATAAAGTTATATATGTTTAAACAAATGTTATAATTAATTATTTTTAGAACTTTGACTTCAATAATAAAAAAATTTGGTGTGAAAAATTATAATTTTTTATTTAATTTTTATAATTCATAGTGTTAAAGTTATAATTGTTCGAACAAAAATTGTGATTCGAAATAGTTACTTTTAGAACTTGTTTATTAATTATAAAAGAAATTTTAAATAAAAAGTTGTAATTTTTTATTCAATTTTTGTAATTCATAAAATAAAAGCTGTAATTGAAAAAATGGGACTAGACCTATTTTTTATTTAAATAAGGAATAATTTAATCATTTAACCTAAAAACATTAATGTCAAAAAGATATATAAGGAGTTTAGAGAAATTGTGGCATTTTGAAAGACTTGATTGTCATTGATATATTTTAGTGAAATTTTATTGTCATTTTTTTTAAAATTTTAATTATGTTTAATCAACACTTACCTATCAATTATCCTTTTATTTATTGTTTATATAGCCTTCTGTTAGGGCCAATTATATTCAAAACATGGTTGGATACTAAATGTAAATATCTCTCCCAATAAAAATTAAATCTTGATTCACTATATTATGAAAGATTAATTTCTTCTATTAAATTCAAGTCTTATTAGTTCAATTATTCTTTTTTTCTTTAATTATATATATATATATATATTCTCTTGTTAGATTTAATTTTATTTGATAAATAGTCTGACGATAAATATGGATACCTCACTATCTTAGTAATGAACCTTAGTTTATTATATTATGAGAGAAAATATATCTACTCTCATTGGTCTGTCATCAATTATACTATTGTCTATTATTATGTATCTATCTATTTTCTATTCTCTATTATTGATCTATTATTTTGTATTAATGCAGCGCAATATATTAGTAATCAAACTCTAATTTTTTTAGATAATCACTTTTTTTTACCAAATGCATATCACTTTAAACTTTGTACTACCTTGATTTTAAGTGATATGCGAATAAAACCTTATCATATTATTTTAATGAAATAAATAACAAATCAACAAGATGGAGCAGCAACTTAATTATTACAGTTTTTAATTTTTTGCAGGTAGAAAACCAGATATCATGATTGATAACTCATGAGTAATTTCACTTGTTCAATTTTTTATATTTTATATAGTGATTTTATCTTTCATTTTTCATAGAAGAAAAATTGATGAAATTATAATTATGAATTATAAATAATAATAATATTCTCCAAGAAATTTCACATCCCTTCCAATGAACTCCGAAGCTCCACTGTTGTAAGACCTACAGTACGGCTGCGTTCCTTCCCCACTCTTTCCTCTCTCTGTCTCCCTCGTCGCACAGACAATTTCTCTCTCTTTGGCATCGCTGGGGACCTGGTTCCGGTGAGCCGTCTCTTTACTCCATCTCTTTGCTTTGTTTTTGTGCCTGCGATTATTTTTTGATTTGCTCTTCCAATCATGCAATTGATTCTTTGAATTTCCATCTTTGGAACAAAGTAGTAAAGGAACTGAACTGTTGAGGAGTTCAGATTGCTTGGGAGCGACATCTCACTTCGGAATTGCTAGCTTGTTATTGTGTCTGCACTTCTGCGTAGTTGAAAGTTGTTCAATATATATATATTCATTGCTTGCTAGCGAAAGTTAACAATTTTTTCATTCTTCTCTTCTCTTGAAGGTGGCCGCTAATAACTAGGGACAATGGGTATCATTGAAAAGATCAAAGAAATCGAGGCCGAGATGGCTCGAACCCAGAAAAATAAAGCCACAGGTACTGAGTGGGCGTTTTCTTTCATATACATCTTTCTTTTTCATTACTTCGATATTTGATTGTTATAATCATAACATCAAATAATGTGGTATATTTAGCTGTTCGAGGAACGATGGGTTGAGAAACAGAAATGAAATGGATCACTATCTTGGGGTAGCTAAATATAGGAAGGATGAAATATTTTAGCAGGCCTTCAAGCGAAGACAAATTGATTGTGACCTTTTGACTTTCTCCTGTAAAAGTGAAATTGTCTCCTAACTTAACTGAAAGGACAGTTTTTTTAAGTGATTTGAAGGTTTTTGAGAAGTTGTAAAAGGTGTCAAGGTTGCAGAGAGATAGAAATCTCGATAAGTGTGACTTTGCAAGTGTCTGTCCCCTTGAAGACCAGGGGATCTATTTACAGGGAAGTTTGGAGTTGTCCGTCCCATGGTGGTCATGACTGAGAAGTGAGAACATAGGGCATTAACTATATATGTTAAACTGCATGGAACAGTGGGCTAAATAGGAGGTTGAATTTAAAGGAGATTGATGCATGGGGAAGATATGCATGTTGATTGTGGGTTTTGTAGCTAAGGATGACGGGTCTAGCTAGATGGGGAGTATTTCAGTCTTGCTCTTGATGATAACTTCCTTCTAGAGGGTGCTGCTATGGATAGGGAAATGAGTTAGCTAGAATAACTATTCTACTTACTAAGTGTCTAGAGTCTAGTTCTTATTGACTGACTGATTGTTTGCGTAGCGTGAAAGAACCTTATTTCAATTCTACCTAGCCGTTCTCAAGGGAGAGTGGGTGCACTTGGTTGAATAATTATTTCAATTACAAATATCAAGATTTTATTCAAGCACCTTCACTTCAATCTTACCAGACACTCTTAAGGATTATCCCTAGCTATGAAAATCACTCCTTCACAACACTCCCAATGTTGTGTATGGTGGATGCTATTGGGCACTACGAAGCACTTCATTCTTCAGAGGGATTTATCATTGGAAGTTTCAGTGGGATTAGATGTCTTAGGCAACCAATCATCTATGGGAAGCCAAGAGGGGGAGCACTTCATGCAATGCTTAGTTGAAATGTTGCCTGACCTGTTTGCATTCACTGCACTAGGCAAGCATAGGGCAACAAGGATATCTTGGCGGATTTTATGTTAAATGTTCCAGCATCGATTTGTTAAGAATTCTTAAGAGGAGGTGTGGATGTCCTTCATTATATCTATTAATATGTGGTAATACTTATCTTAACAAGTTAAGACAACTTATCTTCATCAGCATTCCTCCACTTCTCTTACAGAAACGTATTTATGGTTTTTGAATAGCTAAAATAAATGAGTATAAGTGTTTATAAATTAATTATAATGCAAGAGCCATCTAGGAATATATGTTTATCACTTATATCTTTGTTGTACTTCCAGTACATAAATGAATTTACATTTGTTTATCATGCAGAATATCATCTTGGACAACTCAAGGCAAAGATAGCCAAACTAAGGACACAATTGTTGGAGCCTCCAAAGGTATGCGAATCTGCTTTCTTTTCGTTCATGGTTTTGTGTATGGTTTGTTTTTTGTTCTCTTTTGTTTAAAATTCTGTGTCCTTGACATTTCTGATTCATATTAGTAATCGTTTCACATATCTATTCTGTACTAAAGGCAAAAAAAATTGGGAAAAGATGAATATTAGGCTTCTTAGTAGCCTGGAAGGGCTATAGAATTTTGTGTCCTTGGTGAGCTATTTCTCTTCCCTACCACTGTACATTTACTGTTACTGACAAACTGGTATTCTGCTTTTATATTTAATTTGTGCTATTGTTTTTTTCACCTAAAATATTCCTGCTCCAGTCGTTTACTCATTTTGCTTCTTTAGTTTACATATGTACTGCACAGAATAACAACAAACGTTCTCACTTGAAATGTGATAAAAGTTTTATGAAATTTTTGTTATTCTTTTATAGGTACTGGATGAATTTGGTGAATCATATCACCTGTCATGTTGTAGCTTGCCTAAGTTTCTCAATTTTAGTGTGCCATAGATAACCATCAATCCTTGCACGTTTTTTTAAGTTTTCTATCTTGTCAAATCATGGAATAGGGTTCCAGTGGAGGTGGAGAGGGATTTGAAGTTACAAAGTTTGGCCATGGACGAGTTGCACTCATAGGATTTCCAAGGTCTGTCCTGTAACAAACGCTTATCTCCATTCAGACTCATTTTTCATTGATGAATGGTGAATTTTTTCAACTATAATCTCATAGGAAATGAATTATACTATTAATATTAATGCTCAATATTTCATCATATTGCATTTACCTTGTTTCTATGCGTGATGCATGCATGCCCTTGGGTGCTGCCTTCATTATATTTCCAAATTTTACACATGCTTAGTAAGACATCACCTTTCTAATCCTCTTCGCTTTTCATTAACAGTGTGGGGAAGTCAACTCTTTTGACAATGTTAACGGGCACACATTCAGAATCTGCATCCTATGAGTTCACAACACTGACCTGCATTCCTGGTATCATAAACTACAATGATACTAAAATTCAGCTGCTTGATCTTCCTGGAATTATTGAAGGTGCTTCTGAAGGCAAGGGACGTGGGAGGCAGGTAAAATGATAGTTGCTTGTTGCTCTCATATTCTTTCTACTAGTAAGTTTTAGGGCACTGTTTGCCATAACTAGTTGATAATTGAACATAGATGTCTGCTGAATGAAGTTGATTATTGGTTCCTTTCACTGATTACTTTGGGTAACAATACTTAAGTTCCATGAACATGAAAGGGTTTTTTTCCCTCTATATTCTCAGGTTATTGCTGTTGCCAAATCTTCTGACATAGTATTGATGGTTCTTGATGCCTCTAAAGTAAGTGTTATTTTCTTCTTTTCTTTAAATGGTTGGCAATGCTATTTTCTAATATAGCTTTTCATTCCTTATGTTCACATTGCTTTTTGATAAAATAATATGTCAATTGTTGATAAAGCACAATGATGTTGTGCAATCCATGTAGCCAACCCCATCTAGGAGAAAAGGCTTGTTGTCATGTGTCAATTGTTGCAGTAATCTAGGCACTATTTAAGAATTCTATTCTGTCTGGGAATCAAGTTAACCCTTGAAACACCCCACTAGTTACTCTGTTATTATAGAATGGTAACTCATTAGTCATTACTCTCTTAATTTTCTTCCCCCTCCACTTGGTAAATAGTAACAAATAAATGAATTGAACATTTCAAATTCTTCAGTTTTGTGGAATTTCATACAAACACTCTGGAACTTATTATTCCATTGTCGTGGAAGAACATACCTTTAATCCCGATAATAACTCAAAAGTACAGTGGACTAATCTTGAAAAAGGCTAATTAAGAGAGAAATCATGTGATAAAGACACATGATCTCTAGCACTTTTCTAATAGTTGCCTGTTTTCCTTTTGGAGACCCAGCAATATTTGGAGGATGATTCCATGTTTGTGAAGTTAGATTTTAAAGTGTGCTATTTCTTCCCATTGTTGTTTTTTAAGATTTGGTTTTTGTTGGAAATTGGTTTTAAACCATTGTGATGAACTTTTTTTAAAATGTGAGTGACTGACTTGGATTTTTTCTTCATGGAATAAACCGAAGAGCAAGTCCTGTCTGATCATCAATTTAAGTTTTAATCATTTTGCATGAGAAACCTTGGAAACTTTGCAGGGATTTCAAATATGTTTTACAGATTGTTTGTGGAATTGCTTCACATTCTGTTTGGATGTATTACTTGTAGTATTAAGTTTACTATGAATTGAAAAACTTTCCTAATCTTGGTATGATTTTTTTCTCCCTAAAAATCTGCCAGAGTGAGGGTCATAGACAAATATTGACAAAGGAGCTTGAGGCTGTTGGCTTACGGTTAAACAAGAGGCCACCTCAGGTTAGTTTGTGCCCCAAAAATATTGAGTGATTCAAGACACGGTTTGGTTTTTTACTTTAAGTTCTTGGTTGGACTTTTATCTACTTCTCACCTGCCATTGCTTTGGATTTGTCTTCTATGCAGATATATTTTAAAAAGAAAAAGACTGGGGGCATTTCATTCAATAGCACTATGCCCTTGACTCATGTGGATGAGAAGCTGTGTTATCAGATCTGCATGAATATAAAATTCACAATGCAGAGGTACAGTTCAATTCAAAGGACACACAAATATGGGATCTTAGAATTATGGAGTTGTATTTATTTTAATGGGAATTAAATATACTTAATTATCATTTCCATAGTTAGTTTAACTATAGTGGGGAAGGTTTGATGGTTGCATCTACGGCTGTAAAATCCCTGGCTAGTTTCATTGGGTAAATCATCATTTTCTCTATCATTTCTTTTCTTTGCAGAAGGTTGGAAAGGACTGAATGATTGTTGAACTTAGCACATGTCCCTTTCTATTTCATCCTTTTTTTTGGCCTTGGTGATACATACTTTTTTATTTTTGTACCATGCTCTTAGTGTTTGTAATAGAAGAGAGTAAAATGTTTCTTTTCTTCTGCATTTCGTTTACTTATTATGCTTGCACATTTTACCTGCACTGTGGTTCTCTAAATCTATAGTAACCATCAGTCATGTCATTTTCTGATCTATCTATAACTCCTTGACTAGGTGCATCTGTAAGTAGGAGTCAAGTAACTTGATGATGAAAGCTGTGATTGTGAAAAATAGATCCGACTAGAATTTGTCATGGATAAAGATTAAACAGATAAGATGCCTATCTAGATGTGTTATTACTTGTCTTTGGAATATATTGATAGCACAATGTCATCTTGATAATTTCTGTATTTTCCATTACGGCATACACTAATGTAAATATGTAATTCAGGGTCTGTTTTCTCTTTCTTACCAACTACCCAAATGAAAGATGACAATTTATTTCAGGTCCTTTTCCGTGAGGATGCCACCGTGGATGACCTCATAGATGTTATTGAGGGTAACCGTAAATATATGAAGTGTATATATGTCTACAACAAGATTGATGTTATTGGTATAGATGATGTAGACAGATTAGCCCGCCAGCCTAATTCTGTTGTCATTAGTTGCAATTTGAAGGTGGGTTCCATAATTTCTGAGCAAACCATGATACTGATTGATTATCGTTGGGGAGCTATGCTATGATTCATATTTTGGCAACAAAATACAAGACGGCATTGCTTGTTCTTTATGCTTGTTTGATTGCAAATTCCATCGCGTAAAACATTAGATTCTTGTTTTTTTTTTTTTTTATAATAATCCTCTGATATCTCAATGCGGCTAAATTTCATGTTTTCACATACAGCTGAACTTTGATAGGCTACTTGCGAGGATGTGGGAGGAAATGGGTCTGGTTAGAGTTTACACAAAGCCCCAAGGCCAGCAGCCTGATTTCTCTGATCCTGTGGTCCTTTCTGCTGTATGTTGATCTTTTAACTTACCATCTTAGATACATGTCCCTTATACGACCCTGTCAAAAATATTTGGCTCTTTAATACCTCCTTGTTGATTTACTCTGGTAAATTATTGCAGGATAGAGGTGGCTGCACTGTAGAGGATTTCTGCAACCACATACACAGAAGTTTGGTGAAGGACGTCAAGTATGTTCTGGTATGGGGTACAAGTGCAAGGCACTATCCTCAACATTGTGGCCTTGGTCATCTTCTTCAGGACGAGGATGTCGTTCAGATTGTTAAGAAAAAGGTGAGGAAAACTTCCCTCAGCTTGTTTCCTGTAGTATGACGGAAATGCATTTCTAGTCTAGATCATCCTTCCGCCAAATTAAATTCAGCAGAACCCATATTATGAAATTCTATTTCCTTTTCTTGCTGCGAGCTGAACACAGTTATAATCCTGATGGCATGAGCTGCTGAATGCAATTTATATTCCCGCAGGAAAAGGAGGAGGGAGGGAGGGGTCGATTCAAATCACATTCTACAGCTCCAGCTCGGATATCTGACAGAGAGAAGAAAGCCCCCCTGAAGACATAATTATGATGCTGCCTTGTAATCCATTGATCAGTGAGGTGGGTGGGAGAAATGCCCACAGGTTGATATTCAAAATCAGAAGCTTCCAAAGTAATTGAGTGCTGAAGGTTCCTAGCATGAAGGGCATGATATCCTCCTGTGCGCATACTAAGCGAAGCGTGACCACCCATGTATTTGTTGGATTTTTGTTTTGGTTGTATTTGTTATGACTTGTTATAATCTTATGAAGTCGGCAGCTGACCTGAAAGGATAAGAAAGAGAAGAGAAATCCAGAATAGTTCTTTCAAAGATTGACTACTTTGATGAAATCTGGGTTTAATCAATTTTTCAAATTTTGAACCACTCGGAGGAAATGGTCAATTTACCTTTGTTACTTTACTTACTTGGAGCTCCTATGGGTTCTTTCTGCCGAGCTTGTTACGTCGCATTTTAAAAAGTATTTGAGTGAACATAGTGGATTATATTTCTCTAAATCCAACTACAACCTGGAGGCTTTCTCATTCTCCTTTAACTCATCAACTTGATTTTTTCCACTTCATTCCATCTGTTATTGGGTGCGTAAGTGTTTACTAAAAGAACTTAATTTGCGGAATCTTTTGGGTCTAATTTAAAGGGACGTCTGGCTGCAATCTCACCTAGCTCCACATTACCGTGAACCCTACAAGCCGCTAGTAGAGAACCCCAAGCTGTGGCATCATCACTAGCATTTTCCGGTATGAGATCGCATGCCCTTTCCAGCTGCCCAGCTCTCCCAGGCAGATCAACCATGCAAGAATAGTGTTCAGGACTTTAGGTGACTGTTTAATTCCAAATAAATCTGTCATCTGCTTGAAATGCACGCGCCCTTCTTCGACAGGGTAAGCATAACAGCATGCATTGAGGACTCCAACAAACGTAATTTCATTTGGCTTCACTCCTTCCTTTTGCATCTTTGAGAAAAGATCTAACGCATCTATAGTCACTGAGGTTTGGATTGGTTGGCTGTAGGTAATAATGTTCTTTCCCTTATTATTCTGACATAGTTGACGTGATTATGCTACTTTCAGAACCATGGGAACATGAGGAAATTCAGTATAGCAGATGTCTCTGGGCTTCTGATGACTGTGACTGGTCCTCTCAAGTGGGTTAGGATTCAACATGTACACAGTACCGTCCGGTTAACTTTGGTCATTCAAGATGTCCAATCATGTTCTTCCTTAACTTTGTCTGCCATCATTTTCCCGAAATGAATCTTTTTTTTTTAATTACCTAAAATGTATCTTTTTATTAGAGACAATTTTTTTATTGAATGTTAAATGTAAGCATCTCTTCAAAAAAAAATTTGAATTTTAATTCACGATGTTGTAAAAGACTAAGGCAATGTTGGTATATTGCACTTTTCACATCCCAAAAACACTTTCCTACTTTTGGGATGTAAGAAGTTGGTTTTGTGTAATTTAATAAGATTAAATGTGCTTTTTAAAAGTTTTTTTAGGATGAACTGAATGTAAAAATTTAAAAGTTTCACTTTGTTACTTTTTAAAAGTCCTTTTGGGATGAGATAATCTTAAACTATATATTTTTTCTTTTTATTATTTAATATCTTAAATTTTATGTTATTTTAATTTTTTTTCATATTTTTTAAACATTTTTAATATATTATATTTGCATAATAAAAATTATAAATTATCATAAATTAGTATTTTTTGTATCATTGCATATTCAAAAATACATTTTAAAAGTACAGATCATCATTAATTCAAATAACTTTTAGTTTGTCAAACTATCTTTTAAAAAAAATATATCTAAATATAAATTTTATTATAGCAGCTAACTTTCAGTAAACTAATTTTTATCAAATAAATTTTTAACAAACTGAAAACCAAACACACATTATCCCTTTTAACTAGACCCAACTCTCATTGATTGCCCGAAATGAATCTGACCTTAACACACTCTATAATTTGATATTTTGAAACCTGTTTATTCTTTCTTTTCTTGATTGCATAGTCCAAATTTTACTTGTCTTGAGAAAATGGAACATGGGCATATTGGGCTGCCCATTTCCCCAATTTAGATCTGTCTGAAAACTAATCCAATATATGCGTGTCTGTGTAAGTTGAGATGGGAATTTTCATTACCATTGTTACTTAATAAAAAACTAGCAAAACTATTCCACATACAGCGCAATATATTCTCAAGTAATAGCATTCTAATCATTTAAGCTTATGCTTTTATCATAGAAGTAATACTAATAACATGAAACTCAACGACAGGGCTCAAATCACAAAGACCACCAAACTCAAATTCAAATATAAGGAAAATAATGGTTGAAACTCACTTAAGGTTCTTAATTAGTATCGTCATTAATATATATATAAATATATATTGAGTCCTTGAATCTTATTTTCCTTATATATGATCATTAGAAATAAAGATGGGGAGAAAGCTTAGGCTTAATAACAGCTTCAATTGATAGCTTTTTGACATTAGTAAGACCAAGAGTTTCATCCATGTTCAAGTCCATCTCTGTCATATTACCTGGCAAGCTCCATGAAAACCCATGCACCAAATTTGCTAAACCTGACTGAACCACCTTAAGAGCAAGAGAGTAACCAGGACATATCCTTCTTCCAGCTCCAAATGGCAATAGCTCAAAGTTATGTCCGATCACATCAATATCCTTGCCCATGAACCTCTCTGGGTAAAACTCACTAGGGTTGTCCCATATCGTAGGGTCTCTGCCAATTGCCCACACGTTGACAATCACTTGGGTCCCTTTCAGGATGTCATAACCAACAACCTTAGAATCATCAATGGCTAACTTTGCAGGTAACAAGGATGCCACAGGGTGCAATCTCATTGTTTCTTTGACAATGGCTACAATATAGGGTAAGTTAGTAATGTCTTTCTCTTCCACCCATCTGTCTCTTCCAATCACTCTATCTAACTCTTCTGTGGCCTTCTTTATGGTTTTTGGATTTTTCAAGAGCTCAGACATTGCCCATTCCATAGTTGTTGTTGAGGTGTCTATCCCACCTGTTAAAAGGTCCTGGTGAATATATAATCAAGTACAGAGCATGTTACTGGTGTTGACCAGGGGAAAAAACCGTATAAAAGTGTGTGTTTGTATGTATATCTATTTCCAGGAATAGTCCATTCCAATGGTAGACACAGAAAAGGCTGATTAAACTTTATAGTTCAATTTTGACAGTTTTTTTAAAGTATAAGCCAATTCATTTCATTAAAATTTGATTAAAACTGTTCAAAATTACTTCGATGCGCAATAGAAAATAACACCGCAAAGAGTATCTAAAATTGATTTTAATGGTTGTGGTAAAAAAGGATATATATATATATATATAATAAAGTAAAAATATTTTTTAAATTTATATAACACTGGTTATTGCCTTAGACATTCCTAACTACTGATATTTTTAAAATAAAAAGAATATTTTATATGAATATCTGATATTCTTAAATTATACAAGTCTAACTATATACTAACTTAACATTGACCCCATAGACAAACATTGCTTCGAAATTTCAGAGATTGAACAAAATCTCAAAAACTTTTGGGTTTGGAATATATATAAAACGTATCCGCAGTCACATCTTGAATAGTAAAGTAACTGTGTTTCTTATTGATTGATGATTAATATTGGCCGGGTGCAATAGTTTACTGATTGCCTTAGCTGCCTTCTGCACAAAGTCTAGACGCTGATTGAAGACAGAAACATAAAGAATAACGTTCATGACAGTATCATGATCCCATCGGACAAGAATGTAAAAGTATATATGTTATGATGTCTAAGTATGTAAAATAAATGAACTTGAATCAATATAAAAAATCTGATATGGGATAGAGTTGGATCCAATTGTGGTTTAGACGAGAGCAGCCGCGCGGAGCAACAACTGAAACAGGGCATATATAATTGAATAACTAAAATTATTTTTTTAATTAAAAAAGGGGGGAAGAAAAGCATATCCAAACCGTCATAGATAATCTCACGCTCAATATTTGATGTAAATGAATGATGAAGAAAGAAGGAAGCTGATAAAGATACGTATATGTGTTTGTATACCTGAATAAATGCTTTGACATGGTGCCTTTGAAGTTTGACCTCAAGAGTGGGATCGTCTGCAACCTGGAAAAGCACATCCACCATGTCTTTGGCCACATAATCCTCAATCCCTTCTCTTCTCTCTTCGTGTTCATCCATTACATGCTCCAGAAACCTGTCAATCGTCACACTGAAATCCTTCATTCTCTTAACATAACCCTGCAAGTCCAAGAAACTGAAACAAGGAATCAGATCCCCAATATTCGCAAACGTATTCAGCAAGAAAAACTCTTTCAGCAGTCTTCTCAACTCTTCCCAGCTAACAAAGCCACTTTGACCCTTCGTCACACACTTCTTCCCAAACACCATGCGACTTATAATGTTCAGGTTTAAAGAATAAACATAATCTTTCAGTAATATGGTTGTTCCTGAACAAGTGAAAAGTTCGTTCAACATGCTTTTCATCTCTTCCTTTCTGGTATGCTCGTAGGATTTTATGCTATTGGGAGAGACTAGTTTTGTGCTCCATATCTTGCGGGCTTGGCGCCAATAAGGGCCATAAGGGGCCCACAGCATGCCAGAGTAATTGTAGGCTGTGTACTTTCCGGCGGTGGTTGGTGGTCGTGAGGAGAAGTTGTGGCCGTGGGTTTTGAGGAAGGCTCTAGCGACGTCGGCAGAGGAGGCGACCACCACGTCTTTGAAGCCTAACTTGAGATGCATGATGGGTCCATATTTTTTGGATAGTGCATGAAACGAGTGGTGAGGAAGAGGGCCGATGAGGTTGAGGTTTCCGATGATCGGCCATGGCTTTGGTCCAGGTGGCAGGTTATTTCTCCGGCGGCGGCGGAAGAGGAGGAGGAAGACGACGAAGGGGATAAAGATTGCTAGCCATGAAGCCATTGCCGTCTGTGGATTGGGCTTGTGAGGTAGTTGCTTACTTGCAAGGACGATGAAGACATTTAATAGACCACGAAACAGACTGGTAATATTAGGGAATTTAAAGAAAGTTGATTTAAAACATAAACTACCAAATTCGTCATATAAAAAATTGTTGGGAATATCAATACGGACATAATTTTATATCTTTTCTATTTGAAAAAAAAATAACGTTCATGATTTTAAGTAATAACAGTATGTTTATTTGTAATATTTTTAAATTGAAATCATGAGAGGTTAAATATTGATTCTTTCCTTTTTTAAATGACAGCAAATCATTTAACTTATCATTATGATTTCCCCATGTTCGATCGATAACAAGGATTTTTTTTTAAACAATAAAATATTTTTATTTTTTATTTTTTATTGTACACTACTAGTGTCTTCTTATTAATTAGAGGAATGATCAAGTTGGAAACACAATCAAACATTGAATATAAACATATCTCTCAACAGGAATTCGATCATAAAATGTGTTTCTATTATAGATTAAGATAAAAAGACATCTATAGCATGATTAAGATTTGTGTCGTGGCACTTGATTTTAATCTGTAAAGAAATATTGTGTGTGTCTAAGGCATTCTAAAATTAAATTAATAGGGATATGTTTTTGTAACTAAAGTATAATAATAAGATAAAGTCAGTGTTTTACTCTGAAATTTAAGAAATCTGTTTAGATTAGGATGTGGAGTTAAATAAAGCGTTGAATTCCAACCTAATATTAGCTTTAATTTGCCTCTTATTCAGTCAAACCTTACTGGCAAAGTCAATATATATGTATGGAGGAGGTACTGGAACTGGATCACCATTATATTTGTCAAGCCAAATAATATAACGTAAGTAAAAGCTTTTTTTACCATTTGAACTTAATTAATTGTGTTTTTGCATTGCAAGATCACGCAGCTCAAAAATTTTAAATTAAATCAGTGAGTAGAGTGCGTGATTGGCTCACCTATATGTTGCGGTAGACATGCTAAACCATAGGTAGTTGAAAAAAAAAAAAATTAAAGAGCAATGTATTAAAAGATTTAGATTACCCAAAAAAAGTTAAAAAAAAAAGTTGAATATATTTATTTAAATAGCTACCAATTAAGAATCTCATTTTGAAACTTAAATGCTCTGTTTATAATTGAAATTCCTGTATTTGTAATTTTTTAGTTGAATTTTTGGGACCTGAGTGCATTATCAAAAAGAAATTAAAAAAAGCCAATTGTAAACTGTCTTGCTCATTTTTTTTTAGCAAGGATTGATATACGCTTTCTGTTATTGATTATTTTTAGCAAATTTTAACAGTTAATTCATTAATATCATCTATATCAATATCCATCACAAATTCTTCCTCACTCAACACCACAGCGTTTCGAATTGATAATTAATTTTAAGATTTAATAGGAGTAATTTAATATTTTTAATAAAACCATGATTTTATATTCATAATTAATGATTTTGGTTTGGATATATTTTTATCAAAATCATGATTTTACCTAATTTTTAATTATGCTTTTAACTCCTTCAAAACGCAGTCAATTATATTTAAAATAAATCCCATAAATTAATTTTATTATTCATAGTGAATTTTAATTTACCAATCAACATTATTCCAAACCGACCCTATTTTCTGTCCATAGTACTCTCTCACATCCTCAACATCAATTATAAAGCAAGGGAGTGTTTTTTTTTTTGGTAAAAAAAAATGAAGCAAGGGATCTGAATCCGTACAGATCGCTAAAAGCATCTTCACTTGCACTAATATTTTATGAGAGTGTATTTTGTTCATGAACCAATACTGAATGAGAAAATTAAATTCAGTTCAAAAGGCTATTGAATGCACCCAACTTTCAGAGTAAAGTAACTAGCTCAAATAGTCACATTAACAAATAAACATACTTGAAGATTGTATTATTACACTAAAAATTAATAACTTAAATCTTTTGGATAGGCTCACGCCTCATCAAACTTATTTGGATTACATAGGTCCGGCTGGAGGCTGGAGGCAAATGCAATTCTTCCACCAGAAACAGAGACAAGTTGTGCAATGAAGGCCACAAGCTGAGGAAGTTATGATGCTCTAAAGATGAGTGGGGTTGTAATAATTATAAGATTTTAGGAATTGCAATATAAGAAAACTACAAAAATTGTTGCACAACAATCTACTAGTCCTGAACCTAACAGTCAATATGTTGTTGAAGATATGTAATCTTTTATATGCATTTCTTTTATTTGTTGGTTTACATTGTAGTCCACTCATATGGGGCTATTTTAGTCTTTTTACCTTTTGCAATATCTGTAATAAATACTTGTACTCTATGATTGTTTCATTAATGCAAAATGGTATCATTTAGATAATGAATATTGCATTTCAAATTTCTAGTGTGATATGCAGACACACTATAGTCAACATGATATCTAGAGCGACTGATTTTTTGGACCTATAATGAATCTTATTTGTTTGGTCAATCTCTCATATTCAGGTGTTCTATTCTTCAAGAATTGGACCATGACTTCAAGAAATGGGCCGTGACTTCAAGAAGCTGATGAAAACAAGAGCCCATCTGCTTAGACACACGCTGCGCACCATTTCCTTGGTTGATGATTTTAGTTTGATACTCTCTTCGTTTAAAAATATAAAATATTTTTAATTAAATCTTATTTCTTAATAAAATAGTTACCTACTTTTTAATTAATCCTATTTTTTTATCTTTATTCCTATTAAATATCTTAAAATAAATATAAAGTTATTATCAATGGGGACACTTTTGAAAAAAAGTCAATAATTACACTTTGAAAGACTAAAAATATCATACATTTTTTAATATCCAACTCCTCAAAAAATACTTTTTATTTTTGAATAGAGGGAGTATGTTTTTATCAAAACCATGATTTTATCTAATTTTCAATTTTGCTTTCTAATTATACTCACAATCAATCTTAAAAGTTAATTAGTTCAAAACGTAGTCAATTATATTCAAAATAAATCCTATAAATTAATTTTCTAATTCATAGTCAATTTTAATTTATGAATCAGCATTAATCCAATCCGACCCTATATTTTGTCCATGGTACTTACTCTCTCCCATCCTCAATATCAACTATAAAGCAAAGGAGTTTTTATTTTTGGGTAAAAAAAAAAAATGAAGCAAGTGATCCAAATCAATACGTATTGCTAAATGCACCTCCACTTGCACTAATATTTTATGAGATAGACTCCTTCTGACTAAATTGCTACATATAAAAAAGTTAAAATTTGAATTTTGAACCACTTACTTAAATGGCAATAACATTTATCATTTTATGTTAATTTGAATCGGTTATTTATCTTTTCCTTTACAAGTTAAAATTCAACAAATTAAGCATATTATCATCATATTAATGTGCCTTATTTCCTTTTATTAACTCTGCTAACAAAACGAGGTTCTCTTCAAGACAAAGTTAATCATAACCTTTTCAAGATAACATTATATATTTAATTTCCTGTCATCTTTTAAAAAAAAGGTTATATATTTCTGTTCAAAATATAAAGTTAGAATGTTAAAGACTGAACAAGACACTGTGAGCACAATGGCCTACCCAAATTGGTGCTTTTAGCTACACTTTAATTCTCCTTGATAGATGTGGTTCGATGCCTTGATCATCTCAATCAATCTTTTTATATATCCTTTTTCCACTGATCATCTTGCTCATCAATTATCTACAATCATGTACAAATTAAATAGCTTGGATGTTGATATGTTTGAATTAAAGCGCTCAAGGTCACATATATTCAATCGCATGCAACAGGAGGCAGTAGCAATACAAATAAACAAGTTTTTGAAGAAAATGAATAAAGGTAAAGGCGAGAGAGTCTTCTAGAATCAAAATCCTCCTAGAAAGTAGAAGAATCTCCAAGGATTATTGAATAATATTTCATTCATGCCCATAATAATTCATAACAAGTATATTAATAGTCTGCAACAACTGTAGCTTCCTTATCCCCACCATAAGCTGACAATAACTAACTCAGGACACTTGTAGTCATCAACATAAGACACATGGTAAATACATAAAATATAAATAACGTGATAATAAAGTTCGAGAACACTAAAGCGACTCTTCTTCAGACATGTACACTTCTTTTCCTAAAATATAAACTAGTAAATTAAAGGATGATGGTTCTTAACAAAATCGCTTTCTGCGAAGGAATAATCCATGCTAGCATTGCAATTTGTTCCCCCTCCGGTTTGCCCCAATCCACAACATCCATCTCCAGGGCTATCTCTCAGCACCAAACAAAGCCCACTAACCTAAACCAAGAACCACAGAATCAAAACTCTGCTGTCACCTGGGAGGTGGCAACAAAAGATGCTCCACTGAACCACTTGCAGGTGATGGAGAGAAGAGCCCCAAACGACGCTCCACCCTCAAAGAGGAGAGAAAGAGCTCCCAAAAAAGAGAGTAACTGTCTTATAATGTTGAACGGAAGGAGTAATTACAATACTACCTTATAATCCATTGATCAGTGACGTCACTGGGGGAAACGACCATAGGTTGATAGTCAAAATCAGAAGCTCCTAAAGTAATTGATTGCTGCAAGGTTCCTAGTATGAAAGGCATTATTGTTGAGTTTGGGCTTCCTTCCAATATGAAGAAAGGTCCAATATTAAAACCCACTGTAAGTCAAAGAGAAAAAGAGTCATTTTCGCATATTTATAAAACAGTTTTGGTAAATTAATATTTGAAATTTATTAATCATTGGATCGAGTTAAAATTAGGTGAGCTGGTTCACAACATCCAATACATCATTTTCAATGATTGGATCATTGATTCGTTGCCTGGTGTGACAATTATTCTATTCACACTACAACCTCTAGTTTGGTGTTTTTTTTCCTCTTCTTCATCCTCTTTGATAAACAAATTGTTTTGGTGTTTTGATTGGTTGTTTGCACTTGTTTGTGTATCTAATTGAAATTCTCTTGTACCATATTTTGATCACAATGGAGCTATTATCCATTCGTGATGGCCCATGATTTTTATCCTTGCATTAATGGCTTTTTCCTATCAATAATTTCTGGTGTCTCTAAGTGCTATTTATTTTCTACCATATATTTGTTTATTTGCCCTTAAGATTTTAGCAAGTAGATGAGAATTTATACGGGCTACATTTAAATTACCTGGCTGTGCTTTTCTCATCAATTATATCCTCCCGTGCGCATGCTAAGCGAAGCACATGTGCTTTGGCCACCCGTGACCGAAAGGATAATAAAGAGGAAAGAAATCCACACTAGTCCATTCAAAGGTTGACTACTTTGATACAATTCTGGGTTTGATCTGTTTTTCAAAAGTTGAACCATTCGGAGGAAATATTCAGTTTACCTTGGCTTCTTACTTGAAGTTCCTTTAGGATCGTTCTGTTGAGTCTGTCAAGTTGCAGTTTAAAGAGTATTGAGTGAACATAGTGGATTACATATCTCTAAATCCAACTACAACCTGGAGACTTTCTCATTCTCCTTTCATTCATCAACTTCTTGACTTTTTCCACATCATCCCATCTGTTATTGGATGCGTAAGTGTTTGCCAAAAGAACATAATTTGCAGAATCTTTTGGGTCTATTTCAAAGAGACGTCTGGCTGCAATCTCACCTAGTTCCACATTACCATGAACTCTACAAGCCGCTAATAAAGAACCCCAAGCTGTGGCATCTTCACTAGCATTTTCCTGTATGAGATCGCATGCCCTTTCCAGCTGCCCAGCTCTCCCAAGCAGATCAATCATGCAAGAATAATGTTCAGGTAACTGTTTAATTCCAAATAAATCTGTCATCTGGTTGAAATACAGGCACCCTTCTTCAACAAGACCAGCATAACTGCATGCATTGAGGACTCCAACAAATGTAATTTGATTTGGTTTGACTCCTTCCTTTTGCATCCTTGAGAAAAGATCTAATGCATCTTGTGATTTCCCGTGCTCAGCCAGGGCCGTGATTAATGCACTGTAAGAGATCACATCTCTATTGCTTATTCTATTGAATTCCCTCCAGGCCAAGCCTATGTTTCCACACTTTGAATGCATGTGGATCAATGCATTTGATATAGCAAGCGTCCTATCTGAGATGAAAGAACAGAGTATAAGAATAAATTGTTTCCAAGTGATCTTAACCCTCACATGAGAAATGGAAAGCGTTCGTTTTTGACAAATTTACTTGACTTACAAACTAATAGGAAGACTAATTGGTGCAGAACCAAATAAATAAATAAAATAAAAGCGAATTCCAAATATCTTGTTTGCTAATAAGAAAATTAGTCAAATAGACCTTTTAATTACGCTGAAATAATATGGATTTTTTCTCTATTTTCTAATTAATACAAACATCCATTAATTTTGTTAAAATTATTGACTTCTTTCTCTCTATCTTCAAAACCTAGATATATATCTCAAAAGAAAATAATGAAAGTCTCTTCTCAAGTTCATTATGATCACAAAGGCTTTTCAGAATTCTTAAAATATACGCAAACCTCTCTCAAAACTAAAATAAAAGAAAACAGCTTGTATAATTTCAACAAAACTCGCAAATGCTTTTTTAGAGAGTTCTGTATAATTTACTCTTTATTGCTAATGAAGGTTTGTGTAAAAACAATGAAGAAACGATTGTGATTTTCACAAAACTTCAAGGAAGTCGAGTCATTTATAATTAATATTCTTAAGAAAAATAAATATTATAATTGACTAGTGGTTTATTTCTTGGCATAAGATGAGCTAACAAAACTCTAAGGCCATTATGCTAAAAGAAACCAAGAGAAGAGATGCTTTATATAAATTCTTAAACTTATTCCTGATTAACAACATCAAATTGAAACATTTTGATAGAGTGGTGCATGCATCACTTACCAGAGCAATCCTCTTCAAGTTGGTTGGTTAATGTCCTTGACAAATGAACATCTCTAAGTTGTGCACAAGCTGATATAGCTCCCACCACAGCCACAACACTGACTCTAATCTTTCTTTCTCTCATGTTGTTATACATCTTAATAGCTTCCTTTGCAAAACCATTTTGGGCATAACAAGCCACCATTGCTGCAAAACTTGAGGCATCTGGCACTGGTATCTCATCAAACACCCTTCTTGCTTCCCTCACATCACCACATTTCCCAAAACCAGCAATCATTGCAACCCATGTGACAATATTTTTCTCCTTCATCATATCAAACAATTCCTTCGCAGATTTCATATCACCATTATTTGCATACCCGGCAACCATAGTGGTCCAAGTAAATGAATTCCTTTCCTCCATGTTCTCAAACAAGCACATTGCGTCAACCATCATTCCCACCTTTGTATACGCACAAATCATAGCAGTCCAGGCAACAACATCTCTCTCACCCATTTCATCAAACACTACTCGTGCATCAGACAACAACCCACATTTCGCGTACATATCAAGAATGGCAGTTTGCACAATCTTGTTATTATATAACCCAGATTGCAAAACTCTCGAGTGCACTTGATTTCCTTCAGAAATAGCCGGGACTCGGCCGCAAGCATTAAGGACAGAAGTGAAGGTGAACCCTGATGGCAAGACCCCATTTTGGTGCATTCTAGCATACAGAGAAATGGAACGGTGAAAATGGTGATGAAGTGCGTATTTACGAATGAGTGATGTCCAGAGGAAGCCATTTTTGCAACTGGGTATGTGATCAAACACTTGGGAGGCATAACGAAGATTATCATCGGGACACTTGAGGATTCGGAGGAGAAGACGACCTGCGAAGTATTGGTAGTGATGGGGTGTTATGAGGTGTTTAAGCAGAAGAACTTGGGTTTGTCGTAGATGATCGATGGTTTTACTGGTATTGAGCAGGTGACTGATAAGAATCGAAGTATTGTGTTTCTGATGAATGATCAGAGACAAGGATGCTGAGTTGGTGTGCATGAACTTCAATCATATTTTCCTCGCCCCCATGAGAAAATAACAAACAACGAAGTTTATGGGAAGCTCGATGATTCGATCTCCGATGCTAACCAGGCTTCTTTTTCAGCCTCATTCCACTCTTACGCTATGAAACTATACCAAACTTCACAGGAGAAAGTGAATGCGTGGATACATTATATATATTGATATTTTGAGTGAAAAAATGACCAGAAGTGGATTTATATTTTATTATTATATTCATTATCCTTTTCTTTTCTTTTCATAATGTCATTCATCAATATCAATTCACTCCCAAAATATTAGAACCTTATTAACCTTTTATCTCATCCTTATCACTATTTTTGATATAATACGGGGTAAATTTTTTTTTTAAAAAAAAAAGACACAAAAAGTTATTGGTAAGATCATAATCCATAATAGCTGAAAAGTAATCAACCCATAGACAAATGCTTTTATAAGAGGTTCTATAAGAACATTTGATAGTAAGGATAAGTTGCTACCCTCTAACTCTTGCTTTTTATTCCTTCCAATCTTTGAGTTTACTTAACCAAACCTCTAATCCATCTTCCTTTGTAACCAAAGGCCCTAAATGCATCAACACAATATTCATTTCACTCATTAAAGCAATTGATCAAGCTAAAACTCTTAACTTCTCAAACTTGCTCTTCTTTAACTTTAATTTTCACTTTCTTATTCTTAACTCCTAAAAATCATTATCTTGATCATTTCCCTCTCAATTTTTCATGAGGAATCCAAATATAAATGTAGATTTTTGAAAGACAATCTCCTTCCTCATTAAACAACCTTGGCAGAACCTAAACCCCTAATTGCTTTATCCAAAATTTCAAGTTTCATTTCTTCTTTTTCTAAAATTCTTTTCTTTAATTTATACTTTAAGTATTAATTTACATTACTACCAGAGCACGAAGTGAAGCCAGATAGAACATCCAAGACCAAGGGAAGATCTTCAAAAAAAAAAACTTGCTGAAATTTAGCTCAAAACCTAGTTCAACCTTACCTCTTCTCCATGCTCTAACTTGCTCTGGCTTTCTCCACTTCTTCTTCATCTTTGCCACATAAAACTCATCCTCTTGAATATCTAAAGCCATAAATTAAAATTGTTGCTCTTGATGAGAGGAACAACTTTTTTGAGGAGTGTTTTCATATTTAAGGTGGTTTAGTGAGGGATTTAGCTTAGTTTCTCCTTTCTCTCTATAATCTCCATTTTTGCATGCTTGAAGCTCTCTCCCTCTTCCCCCTCCTTGATCTGGTCGAAATGTGGGAGAAGAATGAATGTAATAGTGTTTAAGTGGCAAGGCTAATGGAATTGGAATTTTTTTCTCAAATCCAACAATCACAATTTCCACTTGCCAGTTTCTTTTCATTAATTCCTTATATTATTTAGAATAAATGAGCAAATTACTCTCTAAATTTTAGGTCAAGTAGCACTATAGGCCTTGAACTTGTATGTTGTGTGAATTTTTCATCAACTTTTAAAAACGATGTAATCTAGTTCCTGTTGTTAACAAAAGTTAATTTTGATCATTAATTGATTGAAAAATGATAAAAAAAAAGAACTCAAAAATTATAGAACATGACCAAAAGAAATACAATAAAGAACTCAGAAAATTACAAACAAAAAATAGAAATAAATTACAGAAAAAGATCAAAAAAAATATTTTTGTTCCTTTTTTGTAACTTTTTGAGGTTATTTTCTATCATTTTTTAGTCAACTAATGGTCAAATTTTACTTTTGTTAAAGGCAGAGGCTAGATTGCACCATTGTTAAAAGTTGAAGAATAATTTACACAATAAACGAGTTTAAAGTTTGTAATGACTTTCATCATTATCCCCTATTTAACTCTACTAATCAATGATTTAACAAATGGATCAACCATGGCATTATCATTTCAATTATTTCTTAAAGAGCGACTAGGAATTTGGATCCTAAAGAATCAATCGAGGTTAATTAAAACTCTTCCAAAAATCAGAGTACTTGAAAATATATGAAAACATGTAATTACAAGGTATATCATTGAAAGAGGACAAAAAGGTAAATCAATAATTCATAGCATCACCGCATTCGTTCGCTATGTCTAAATATACTTTTACCGTGGCCAACTGTAGTTTGGCATGCTCGTTGCTACGAGCGTGCCAAAGCTTTAGACTCTTTGTCTAAGCACAAGTGCCTCCTATCTATTAAGCCAAGGCTTGCACTATCAATCATGCATTAATGCTCAATCATCCATAGGGATTTTGAAGACAAACTTAAATGCATAACAACACGAATATAAAAATAAACATATAGTTAATCATGTGGAAAACTGACTTCTCAATCAAAACCTGAGGCCAATTACCAGCAAAATTGCCCAAATCCACAATTGGGCTCATATGCAAATGAAACAAAACAATTCCCTAAGATCAAGTATATGCATTAATTCTAAAGTTGGCAAAATAATATTCAATTACACCAAAAAGATAATTAGAGTCTTTACAAGTGGATCTCTAGTTCTTAGATTTCGATGCCTCTCTTTTCTCTTTTGCCTTATTATCTCCTAGAAAGTATTAACAAACGAGAGTAAGATTTAACAATCTTAGTAACCAAAAAACTTAAAGAAAATATATTAAAGTATGATAGTTTCATAGTAAGACAAGTAATAACATAAAAACCAAATCATCATATAGGCTCAAATTCACATATATAAATGCTTATGAGTAATACAAATACCTTATATCCCTCCTTATATCATTTGGTCGAACCCATAAGCTATTATTCATATAGGATTAGCCCATGCAATTGAAGCTAGCCCTGCTCTCTAATTTTGAGGTGTCACCTGGCCAAAGGCTTTCACACTCACTCTCAGACTATGAGCTCTCCTTACTCAAATTTCAAGGTGTTATACATTGCACGACCCACACCATCCAATCTAAGATCAGTGATACTGAGTATTGTGCCTAGGGCTGTGCAGAAAAACCTCAACCCGGTCTGTTTGGTCCGACCCGGTGTGACCCGGTCCAACCCGGTCTTGAAAAATTCAACCCGAACAAAAGACTGGACTAAACGGGTCAGACTGCACATACGGGTCAGACCAGACTAGAGACTGCTCTTTCGGACCAATCAGTCCGGCCCGGTCCAGGTTATTTTTTTAATATTAAATATTAAATAATTATATTATTTACAAAAAAAAAAGATCTTACTTAGTTGAACCCAGTAACAGTACCCTCACACCTCACGTGCATGCTTCAGACTCGGTCTCTGAACTCTGAAGTCTGATAGCCTCATTTGTCATTTCTCCATTTCTCCATATCGCATGAAAATATGATTATAGGATAATTTAGACAAAAATAAAATACAAGAGACAAAAAAAATGGAAATCTTACATTTATAATTAACACAAATCTCTAACTAGCTCTTTGACACTTGCAAGAATAAAAAAAATAGTAGTAATATTTATAGGTATTGAATAGTATGACACCTTTTTTGTACTTCATATAATACGCGAGAAAGATGATTATTTATACTCTAAAAAACTGAAAGAAACATAATTAATCTCATAACAAGGATCATGTGCAATTAAACAGTGCTTGCTTTGAAACTCAAACGGTAGTAAGCTTATGATATTGATACAAGTGAATAGGAAAGGGGATATGAGGACCTTTTTTTTTAAGAGAGTTGGATTCAAGAAACTGGACTAGTCCAGTAACCCGGTGGACCAAGTCCAACCCGGTCCAGGTCCCGGGTCCGACAAGACTAGACCAGTCTTTGGACTGAAAATTCTAACCCGGTCTCCATTCAGACTAGACTTCGGGTTGACATCCAACCCGGTCCAGTCCGGTATTTGTGCAGCCCTAATTGTGCCCGACCTATAGGATAGGTTATTGGCAATAATAAGCACATAAGTAATTAAAATTGCCAACTATAATGAGTAAACTCGATAAAGGCTACACCACATGGATTTTTCTATACTAGTCTTCAACTAATCTAAGGTAAACTCTCACTCATCATGCTCATGCTCATTTAATTACTCATATGCAATCTACTCATACATATCTCAAACGCTAGAAGTATATATCATTGACACTTGCATACCATTCATATTATGCGACCATAATCATACAATTTATCATGCTCTCATCCAATTCATATGGCTACATCAATCATGCATTTTATCATATAAACTACATCATTGATTTATAGCTAGTCTAGGCCCACAGTTCATACTTCACATCACATAGCATCTTAATCTAGTCGATCATTTAACAAGTAATTCCATAAATATACTTTCATTTCTTAACGATCATATATTCACAAACTCATAGCAAAACCATACTAAACATTTAATGTCATAAATCCACATAGCAATTTAAATGTGATTGCAGACATAATTACATGCAATTATATGGTTCAGAGTTACCTTCATTCTTGGGCTATCACCTAAAGAGTTAAATTTGGATTTCTAGCTACTCTGATCGTACGCTCCGAGCAAAATCAGCCTACAACCATATTCACAAAACAACATTAATGACTAATCATAATTAATTAACCTTTAATCACAATTAAGACATAATCATTCACTAAGCATGATTAATCATAAATAGCCCAAAAACTAACTTGTATTAGTTTTTTTAACTCCCATTAAGTCTAATAATCACTGACATTAGCTCTCATTAGCTTAAACTTAATTATTTAGCATTAGAGTCAACTTTAAACCCCTCTATAATAGCATTTAATGCTGACAACTACTCAAACTTAATGTTAAAAACATTTATTAACATCTATAGACTTCATTTAAATCACAGGCATAGCTATAAATCAAACCTAGGTTCAGATATTGCTATCATAGCCCTTAAACCATGCAAAAATATCAAGAAGAAGAGAGATTATGTGATTAGGAAGGTTACCCAAGGCTTTTATGATTTAAAAATGCTTCTAAGATCCACCAAGAAAAAATTATAGTAGAGCCCGTCGATTTCTTTTAGCCAAAACCCTTAAAATTTTATCTCAAAATGAAGTCTAATAACTACTAAAAAAAGTCAGATTATTGAGGAAATTTAGCAAGGATTGATGTATTCCTCTCTAAATGGTTGTATTAGCGAGGAATTTTGTGAGGAAATTTAATTTCCTCTCCAA